AGTGAGTTCAATTCCAGACATGAAGAGTAACTAGGGGTCATAGTCTCAGGGGTGTCACCAGGTTCTGTCAGACCAGTAAACCTAGTCTATTTTATGATTTTGAGTTTTGTTCCACATTTTTCTCCCACTCTATTCAGGATCTCCTGCACTGATCCCCCTCTGAGTGGTTGACAGTGGTAGCCGGGTACCATCTAGTTCTGGTCTCATGGTGATATAGGCTGAGGTTTGCATGGTTCACTAGTCCCTTGGACTGCTTGTTTCCATGTGTCTTTGGTTTTCTTCATTCTTCTTTGCTCTGGACAAGGAGAGGCCCATTGTTGGGCCACTTATCAGCTTTTAAGATCCCTGTCACTACTCACCACAGTAGGATGTAGAACAATGTTTTTGTGTACTATGTTAGAGGCAATCTACTTGTGTAAAGATTTACAGCCTTGGAAACCCAATGGAGGTCGCTATGACTCAGAATTGACTTGATGTCAGTGAGTTTGCTTTGTATGAAATAGTAGAAGGGCTTGTTTTATTGATCATCAAGGAAAAACACGAACCTTGGTTTGTATGACTTAAATGGGAGGATATGCCTGTGAGGCATATTTTCAAATGTTCATTGCAGAAAACTTGGAGAAACACAAAGGCAAAATGGAAACGATACAGTAGTCACTTGTTAGCCCACTACCTAATGATAATAGTTTGGTGTGGTTCTAGATGATCTCTAAGTGCCATTCCAGTTTCAAAAACTGTTTCTAATGCTCGCTGTTTCTTGATCATCTCCATGGCTGGGTGTCCAGTAGAAGGGCTTGCTGAACTATGCAAGTCCACCTAGGCACAAGGATTGAATAAACAACGAAAAAGAACAAGGATTGAGGATATGGAGAAATCAGAACCTTCACTCATTGCTGGTAGAAATATAAAATGGTTTGATGCTGTGCAAAACATTTTTGCCGTTCTCAGAAAGTTAAACATAGACTTACCATGTGACTTAGAAATTTGACTCCTAGGTATATATACTCAAAAGAACTGAAAATAGGAACTCAAAGAAATACATGTACATGCATGTTCATAGTAGCACTACTTCACAATACCCAAATGGTAGAAACTGTCTAAACATCCATGAACATGAATGGGTCAATGTATAAACAAATTGTGGTACATATGTATAATGGAATATTATTCATCAATAAAAGGGAATGAAGTACTAAAAAAAAAAAACCCAAAAAAACAAAACCCAAACTCATTGCCATTGAGTCAATTCCAACTCATGGTGACCCCCTTTGAGTTTCCAGGGCAGTAAATCTTTACAGAAGTAGAAGGCCCCGTCTTCCTTCTGTGGAGTACATTCTATAATTTGGATGAATCTCAGAAACATTATGCTAAGTGAAAGAAGACAGACAGAAAGGGTCACATAATATATGGTTCCATTTATATGAAACACCCAGAATAAGAATAAGCAAATGTATAGAGAGGCCAAAGTTTATTGGTGGTTATCAAGGGTGGAAGGGAGGGGGAAGAATGAATTATTGTTTAGGAAGCATTGAGTATCTATCTGTTAATGGTGATGGAAAATTTGGCAACGGATATGAGTGATGGTTGTACATCATGATTAACGTGTTCTGACTTCTGCTGGTTGCCTGCTAGAGGCCCCCTCTCCACTCATGGGGATTCTATGTGCAACTAAGGGAAATGTCGCCTGGTCTTACACCATCACCAAGATTGGTTGCAGATCTACAGGTAAGAGCACTGGGATCCATAGAGTTTTCACTGGCTGATTTTCAGAAGTCGATCAGCAGGCCCTTCTTCCTAGTCCATCCTAGAGGACAAGCCTCCAGTGAGTGGAGTGGTGTCTGTGCCTGCATGAGATGCATTAGTCAGGAGTAGAAGTCAGGGCTCCTGCAAGGAAGGAGAGACTTGTACCACTGAACCACCAATGTGGTGACTAATGTAAACAATGCTTTAAAAAAAAAAGAGAGTTTTGGAAGTAGACAGCGGTGCTGGTTGCACAATATTGTGAATGTAATTAATATCCCTGAATTGTACACTTAAAATGCTTACAAATAGTTAACATGGCAAATTTTGTTACATGTTTTACCACAATTCATTTTAAAAATAATAAAATGGGGAGAGAGTAGAAACAAACAAAAAAGAAATATCTAGAATAGGCAAATCCATAAAGACACAAAGCTTATTGGTGGCTGCCAGGTGCTGGGAAGAGAGGGGGTCTTGGGGAGTAACTGCTTAATAGATGAAGGTCTCCTTTGGGGTGATAAAAAATATTTTGGAGCTAGATAGAGGTGGTGGTTGTGAAAACATTGTGAAAGTACTAAAGTTTACTGAATTCTTTATTAGTTTTTTGTTATTTCACCTAAAAAAAAAAAAAAAGTCAACCTATGTTAGCTGCGCGTGGCTGTGGGGCGAGCCCTTTAAGAGTTGCACCAAAGCGGGGCGGGGCTATAGCGTCAGAGCTGTGCGAACCACGTGAGGGAGCGGCAGGGTTGGGGAAATGGCGGCTTCAGGGGAGAGTGGGGCTTCGGGCGGCGGAGGCGGCACCGAGGACGCGTTTATGACCTTTTATAGTGAGGTGAGCTCGGGGTCGAGGAATAGTGGCACCGCGGCGACTCCACCCGGGCTTACTCTCTCGGCGGGTAAATGCAATGGGTCGCCTGGCCCAAACTGTTGGGCGGTTCCGCCTGTCCGGCCTTCGCGGAGGCAAGCGACTGGGGGTGTGAAGGAGTTTTTCTTGTTAGGTGCGGGGGGGATCCCGGAGCAACTAAAGAGGGTCCAGGGTCCGACGTAAGGAGAGAGAGGGCTAGTGTGGCCAACGAAGTGCTTGGGCGCGCAGAGTCCTGCCAAGTACGAGAAGTCAGGGGCGGCAGAACCTGGGCCTTCCTAGGGGTGACTTAGCTGGCTTGTCACCCATTTTTGTTCTAAACAGAATGATCTCTGCTCTCAGTCTTCTGTAATGAGTTCTTTTGGTGGTTATTCCTGCCATTTATGAACGCCAAGCACTTGCATCATGCCAGGTAGGCATTATCCCAATTTTGCAGATGACGAACCCTAGATTTATGGAGGTGAAGTGTTAGTTCGGGGTCTTGACAGCAGGTAACAGCTTGGTATCGTGTTAGGACGGGGGTAAGCGTGGTCCTAATTAGCCATGTTTGTTATGGCATCCCCACCTCCTAATACATAGTGGATGAACAGTAAATATTTGTTAAGTAACTGAATGAATGAATAAATGAAAGCAAACCATGCCATTTGAATCGGAGGTCCCTAGGAATGAATTCTTGCAAGGTAGTTAAACTGGAATGGGATTACATTCTTTCAAGGAATTAATTTTGCATATCCTCAGCTTTTGCATCTGTCAAACCAGAGAATTAATATTAAAAAAAGTTTTTGTGAGGATTAAAGTAGTTAGTACATAAGAAGTACTTCAGAGAGTATAAAACATGAACATCTTTTTCAGAGTTAATGGAAGACTGAAGATGGGATCTCATTTAAGTTGGAATAGGGTTGAGTAATGGAGTGGCTCCTCATTAGCTCTGAACTACTCAAAGTTAACAACTGTGTCACATTCATCTTAGGTCTAGCATTTTTAACAGTGCATGTTACAAAGTATGTTCTCCAAAGGATTGCTGGATTGTAAATTGTAAATTAACACATACTCAATAGTCTGTCTTTTTTTTTTAGGATTTGGGTGAAGATTTACAGAGTAAATTCACTTTTCATACAGCAGTTCACATATACTTTGTCTCATGTCATTGACCAAAA